TTTTTTTTAAGATGGAGTTTAGCTCTTGTTGCCCAGGCTGGAGTGCAATGGCACAATCTTGGCTCACCACAACCTCCACCTCCTTGATTCAATCGATTCTCCTGCCTCAGCTTCCCGAGTAGCTGGGATTATAGGCATGCACCACCACACCCAGCTAATTCTGTATTTGTTAGTAGAGACAGGGTTTCTCCATGTTGGTCAGGCTGGTCTCCAACTCCCGACCTCAGGTGATCCACCTGCCTCGGCCTCCCAAAGTGTTGGGATTACAGGCATGAGGCACCGTGCCCAGCCCTCTAATGTATTTTCTACTCCTAAGAAAAGAAAGTGGCATAAGTTCTACAACAGGGTACATATTGTACTTTTCCATAATATTTTTCTGGATGATAAACTATAGAGTTAAGGGCATAAACAAATGTGAATTTTTGAGTTCTCTATTTGCATCATACAGAATGAGTTGCATATATTTTTCAGATAAATCCAGTAAGTGGAAAAGTCTGTGTTTTTTTCTAGTTTTTCTGACCTGTAAACAAAGATAAGAGCTTTCATTTTCAAAAGACAGATAAATGCAAATAAAACCTAAGAAAGAAGAGCAGTTACTAGATTAAATGTAATGGTTTACATACATTAGATGCATAAAGATTCTTAATAATACAGCCAGGTGTGGTGGCTCACACCTGTAATCCCAGCACTTTGGGAGGCTCAGGCAGGTGGATCACCTGAGATCAGGAATTTGAGACCAGTCTGGCCAACATGGAGAAACACCATCTCTACTAAAAATACAAAAATTAGCCGGGCATGGTGGCACATCCCTGTAGTCCCAGGAGGGACTTGGGAGGCTGAGGCAGGAGAATCATTTGATCCCGGGAGGCAGAGGCTGCAGTAAGCTGAGATCATGCCATTGCATTCCAGCCTGGGTGACAAAGACTCTATTTCAGAAAAAAAAAAAAAAGTTCTTAATAATAAAAGGAAATATAACTAATCAAGTAACTATATAGGGAAACAGTCTGTCAGAGAGCCCTTTAATCAAGTGACTAATTAACATAAACTGCACTAGGACAATTTTTTTTTTTTTTTTTGAGACGGAGTCTTGCTCTGTTGCCAGGCTGGAGTGCAGTGGCACAATCTCAGTTCGCTGCAACCTTCACCTCCCATGTTCAAGTGATTCTCCTGCCTCAGTCTCCCAAGTAGCTGGAACTACAGGAGCCCGCCAGCACACCCATCTAATTTTTTGCATTTTCAGTAGAGATGGAGTTTCATGATTTTAGCTAGGATTTTAGTCAAAATCTCCTGACCTTGTGATCCGCCCACCTCAGCCTCCCTTTAAAGTGCTGCGACTATAGGCGTGAACTACCGTGCCTGGCCTAGAGCAAATTTTTTAAATGTGCTGATACATGCAGAAAGACACAGCATCACTGCTGTGATAATGCCCCCAAAAAGTAAATTATAATCTAAATTTAACCACAAGGAAATATCAATTTTATGCAAAGTTCAAGATAAAGATATCTCTCATGTTCTGTCATTTTTTTTTTTCCTTTGAGATGGGAGTTTTGCTCTTGTTGCCCAGGCTGGAGTGGAATGCACTCCAGCATTCCACTGGGCTCACTGCAACCTCTGCCTCCTGGGGTCAAGCAATTCTCCTGCCTCAGCCTCCCAAGTAGCTGGGATTACAGGCATGTGCCACCACGCCTCACTAACATTTTTGGATTTTTAGTAGAGATGAGCTTTCACCATGTTGGTCAGGCTGGTCTCGAACTCCTGACCTCCAGTGATCCGCCCACCTTGGCCCCCCAAAGTGCTGGGATTACAGGCGTGAGCCACTGCACCCAGCTGTAAGTTTTAACAGTAATTTTTAGCAGTCTATCTTTAGCACCCTAGACAGCAAATATATCCTGATAATGTTTTTCAGAACTTTCTGGTTTATAAATGCCTTCTTTTTAAATAAGCATTTTCTGAATCCTGTTCTGCATTGAGCAAATAAAAAACACATACTGAACCTCAACATTACACGTTCTCCATTTTTAGTGAGAACTCCAGCTTCTCCCCAATAGATTGAGTATTCACACGTTCCCATGTTCAAAAGCCACAAATGGATCATTTTTATTATTTTATTTTATTTTATTTATTTTTAAAAACGGGGTTGCCGGGCGCGGTGGCTCAAGCCTGTAATCCTAGCACTTTGGGAGGCCGAGGCGGCTGGATCACGAGGTCAAGAGATCGAGACCATCCTGGTCAACATGGTGAAACCCCGTCTCTACTAAAACTACAAAAAATTAGCTGGGCGTGGTGGTGCGCGCCTGTAATCCCAG